GTCCCTCCATTTTTTTTATGTTTAATACACACATGGACTACTATATACTTCATACACCTTGAAATGTTTTGTTTTCTGAACAAACTTATTCATCTTTTTTAGTACTATTGAATATTCTCGAAAGCAAATGATTTTCCAAAACTTAAAGACAAAAGTCTTCTCCTTATTATATGCTTAAAGTTTAAAATTTTAGTGCAGGTCTTAGTCAACAGTATATTATTCAAAAAGTGACTTTGAAATGTTTCATCTCAAAGTTCCTTCAACACTGATAACTAAGAGCCAATAGGTGCAAGCATATCAAAAGAGCAAACATCAAAGTGTCTTGATTTTAGTGTAGATCCAGGTTCAAATTGGTTAAGGTAAAGGATCTACAGAGTTACAAGATAAGAAATGTATGTGAAGTTATGCAGGAAAATGCTTACAGTTCACTTTTCCAAGAAGAAAAAAAAAAGATATGAGAAGAGATTTAGCAGATTAAATATTGATGAGTTCTCCTTCTGGGAAACTGTGTAGAGTAAACTTGGAATGAATGATGAACATTACAACGGATCAAAAGAAAACACTTTTAAGTAGAAAAGTTTTCTTATGGGATTATCACTATAAAATAAACTTTTCTTCTTGGCTTTTCCTCTTCGACTTTCCTGTCTGTATATCTGAGTAAATATAAGCCTAATCACCCATGCTTATATGCACACATAGTTCTAATGGTAAAACAGCATACGATGTACTGTGTGTGTGCACATAATTTTGTTGTGTTGGAATTTATTCGGTTGATGCAAAAGTAATTGCAGTTTTTATTATTACCTTTGTGGGCAAAAACTGCACTTACTGTTGCACCAATCTGATACATTGCTCTAAATAAGCAACCATTTAATGGATGAATGGATGATGAGCTTTAAAAAAAAATAATTGGACTTCATTGTAAAATATTTTCAATGTATATTATATGATGCAGGAGGGAAAATTAGTATTTGGATAGCTATTCACTAAAGAACAACTCGATTAAGCTGCATGGTACTCTTGCTTGCTATCAGGATGGGGGTATTCTTTTAGGTATTAGTTAATCGAAGTTATTTTACTATGTTAGATTGCCAACAGTAAAATAGCTTAACCATGATTTATGCAGAACATATAGAATGTTAAAACATAAATAACACAATGAGAAATACAAAGACTAAACAAACATTAAATATAAATACCAAACACATGCATAAGACATTAACTCATACAGTAATACTCAGCCTTCAAATATCTTCTAAACTTACCCAAATAGCAAAACATAACAGAAAACAAAAGAGAAAACCTCAACACTAAGGCTCCTGGCAACAGAGCAAGACTCTGTCTCAAAAAAATAAAATAAATAAATTGTGTATGCTAAATCATTGATATTTATAAGCAACTGTAACCCTTCTAACAAACTAGATATTAGGCAATATATAACCAGAAACAACTTTTTTATACATTAAAAAAATAATAACTTCAGACCAGGTGTGGTGGCTCACACCTATAATTCCAGCACTTTGGGAAGCCAAAGCAGTAGGATCACTTGAGCCCAAGAATTTGAGAATAGCCTGGTCAACAGACTTGTATCTACAAAAAAAAAAAAAAAAAACAATTAGCAGGGCATGATGGTGCATGCCTCTCGTTCCGGTTACTTGGAGCCTGACATGGGAGGATCCCTTGAGCCTGGGAGTTCAAGGCTGCAGTAAGTCATGATCATCTGCTGCAATCCAGTCTGGGCAACAGAGCAAGACCCCATCTTTAAATAAATAAATAAATAAAAGGATGAAATAATTGCAGTCAGAAACATATTTCACAGAAACACATCAATATATGAAAAAATTTGCTAAAATTAATTCTTCCAATAGTTTTCTAAAATGGCAAAAACATTGGAACAAAAAACATTTAATGCTCTACTTTCATATTTACAACGTTGTATTGTGATTAAAAGTACATTATAAAATGGTACAGATTTATTTTTATATATGCAAGCCCTAGTTTTAATAATTAGATGTAGGGAAATTAATTAATTTTTAGACATAATTTGCATTCTGAAGACTGCTATTTGTTTTAATTAAATAATCCTTACTGGAATGAAAATTCATGTGACACACAACAGTTTTGTTTTAATAGCTTTGAATTTTGTTTATCACAACAGTTAATGAACAGTTATAGAATTTAAGAAGTATTGTGCTAATGACAAGATCGCTGGTGTTAAGCAGAAAGAAGGTCTTTTTTACTTTTGAGAAGATGTTGTATTTAATATAATGCTGTATTAAGTAGGTTTCATAACTGTACACAAATAGCTGTAAAATTCAAGAACAAAGTTATTATTACTGGTGTGTAAACTCTTAGCCCTTAAGTCTCTTTTCTACATTCAAATTGTGTGCATTACAAAATTTTCTAACAATACAAGACTTTAGATTTACAGAAGAAAGTATTAAATGACTGCAAAAATATGTGTAAAAACTTTGCAATTCTGTGACACATGAATGTATGTGGATGATAATGTGTGAAAAAATAAATATATGATGCTGAGTCACTTAAATTGTTCTGTTAAATGACTGTATATTATATTTGAAATTTAAAACAATAAAAAATATAAAATTGAGGGATAAATTAGAGTTAATAATGGACTTTATAGAGCACTAAGCAATTGTTTAGAATTTTTAATAATTAAAATATTTATAAATTTGGTACAATTGGGTTAAAAGTTTTAGTCAGAAAACAAGCAGCCAAAATACAGAGAAAAAGAAAAGAAAGAAAAAGGTCTAGCCAGGAGCCAAAACTGTGCAAAATACAATGGCTTCGAAAATATTCAGTAGATAATACTAACTCGTTTTTATGAGACAAGACAATGTAAACTAAAATGCATCTACTCTAATTAATTGCTCAGAAGCAGAAGAAAGTAAACAATTATTGAACTAATTCTGAAAGTGGACATAATTAGCACATTAATCATCCACCCTAAATTATTTAATTCAATAATAATCCTGGAAGAAAAATTAGTATTATAGTCAGCAGTAAAGTGCTTTGCATTTAATGAGCCTCATCATAATGCTGTCAAATGGAATAAATGATGCCTTCAAATAATTTTTAAAAAATATTTTGGTTAAATTAAATTGTTAGGATATATTAATTTCTACTGAGTAGGATAATGAGTTTATAAAAAACAATTCAGTAATTATCTCAGTTTTAGAATTTCTCTTAGACATAAACCAATTAGCTCTCCACAACCCAATATAAGCTTTATCTCATTGGCACTGTAGTTTAAAAATTCCAGCTGAAATACTGAAAGAAAGAAGAGGAAACATATGTAAAATAAGATTATAATGAGTTCTTTACAAAGACACTTCAGAGCTATCTGACATTAAAACATTAAATGTTTAGTGCGTAATACGTATTTACTATTATCTTTTATCCCACATTTTGATATTTATTAATAAAAGCCTATAAACACTGTGAAAGGACAAAAATATTAAAAATGCATCTCAGTATTGAAAGCCAGCTATGGAAAAATACGTCTTCCCTTGAGGACTCCTGAGCCTGTTTATGAAGATCTGTGTAATGGATTGTGCTCCTTAGAATCTTGCTCGATTGACGTTGGGAGTGGTGTGGAGTAACGGTGAAAGCAAGAAAAATGAATAGGTGCGAGTCAAGTAGGAGAGGAGGAGAGCTAGCTGGGAATTCTCTGTTGGTTGCGTTTGGGAACGTTTTCGGAAATCAAAAAAGGAGAACTGGTGTATATGAGAATGAGACCAGAAAGAGAAAAAAGAGAAAGGGAATATTAAATATTTTTGATGTTACGATTAAAATCTATGTTTTGTATTTTGGAAAGGATTTCGTAAAGATTACATTTGTTTTGTCTGCTAAGTAGCAGACTTTAAGTATATGACCTCAAGGTAGGTGCAAGAAGCTTTTCACTGGGTAACATATACATGTTTTCTAATTTGGGGGCTCTGCCAAATACTCAGCCAAATTTTAAAACGAAAGGAATGTTCTACTTTTGTAAGGTTATTGTCCAATGCATAATTGTTGGATTCAGTGTAAGCTTTCTATGAGTAATCTGTGGTTGTATTGCATTTATAAAATATACCAAATGTTCACCTCTCTGACTAATGTTCCTAGAAGTAGGAAATACATATAACTTTTTTTAGATATATTTGCACATGTACCCCAGAACCTAAAGTACAACTATATATGTTGGATTTTCTTTATCACAACAGTACATATGTGTATGTATATATATATATATTTTGTTGTTGTTGTACCTTAGGTCTGGGATACATGGGCAGAACATGCAGGACTATTGCATAGGTACATACATGGCAATGTGGTTTGCTGCCTCCATCCCCCCACCCCGGTCACCTATATCTGGCATTTCTCCCCATGTTATCCCTCCCCAACCGCCACTTTATGACGCTGAATAGAAAGTGTAATTATTCCTTCTCTGAGCAATGCATCACATAAAATAAATATGTATAAAATGTTGCCTAGGTGGTTCACCTTCTCATTATCCATGGAAGATGGCATGCCAGCCTTCATTGTGAATTTAGAAGTGATTGGGACATAACGGCCTAATTGGTATTGGTCGATGAAAAACAGTGGAGTCAATGGCAATAATGGTGAAAGGGGAGAGGGCAGATAATTGGAAAGGAAGAGGAGCACATATCAGAATAGGCTGTTTTTCCACTTGGTTTGATACTGCTTTGAAATAAAAAAGAGATTCTACAATAGTTCAGCTTCAGGCACACAAATTAAATTGTTATAGTTTTGTAGCTTGTGATGAGATTCAAAGATCCTTGAATTTGAACAGTGGAGACCAACAGCAGGCAACCACCAGCTTGTCTGCTGGAGTTCACAGGTATCAGGTGTGATAAACTTTCTTGTTTAGTGATCATCACTTTTCTGTTTTGTTTTTCTTTTGTTTTGTTTTGGTTTTGGTTTTTTGAAGTCCTAGAGACACAGAACGGTTAAATGGTTTTCTCTAGTTCACAGACCTGTCAAGTGTCAGAGCTGGATCCAAACATGAGCAGTTTTGCTTCAGAGTGAAAATTCTCATACTTATTTTACGTGTTGCCTCTGGGGAAAAATGTGTTGAAAGAGGGGTCATTTAAGTAGCCTTCTTAGTTCCATATGACAAGGGTTTTTAAAATTCTTGTCCTGAAGGGGGTAGATAAATTGAATTAGGTTTATTCTGGATACAAGTTGGTATGATATAAATATTTCTATAATTATGTATCATCTTTTTTATATTTCTCAAAATAATTTTAAAAAAAACAAAAGCCCGTAAGCAGATGCAATTATGAAGTGGTCTACTAGGAATCCTACATTGAAAGAATTCTGGAGAAAATAATCAATCCATTTCTATCTTCCAGTATAAAGCAGATTATTTAGCAAATATACTATTATTATCATTATTATTGTATACCACTATTATCATTTTAATTCAAGTGTGTTTTCAAAGAGACCTGATGAAGATTAGGAAACAAAACCGTGTCATCGTATTTCCCTTTGTTACTCTGTGCCTTCTCTAGGTGATTTTATTATGGCCTATTTTTCCATGATGACCTGGATATAAGTATTTAAGACATTTCTACCAAAAACATGAGAAGAGTGTTATGGGGGAATGCAGTAGTTGGGGATGTGGTATTTGACTCTGAGGAAGGATTGCAGTATGACTTGTAGGAGAAGCAATGTTTCCAATGTCTGATTCTTTTAAGAAAAGAAAAATCATAAAACAAACAATTATGTTACAAGGTCCCAGACCAAATTAGATACAAAGGCAAGGTTTATCTGAAGAATAAAAAATACTTTGAATTTTTAATGGAATCTCAGGGATGGAGTAGACATCGTTGGCCTCAGTTTTCTCATATGTAAAATATAGATGTTGACCTAACCCAATAAGTGTTTTTCAACCAAGGCTAATCATCAGGATCACCCATCAGTAAATATATAGATGCCAGCAGTTAGATGATTTCTAAAATCTTGTATACCTTTACTTTTATGAAAAAAGAGAGAAATGTTTGTTTTCTGAAGCACTTGAATGATTCTTATCTCTCCTGCATGTTTTAGACTGATTACTATATAGTCCTGTTTAGATTGGCACTTTCATCCTGTATCTCTACTGAGAGAAAAATTGGTTGGATGGTATCCTTTTCATATTTGAACTTAAATTCCTCTGCACATGAAGGGTAACATAATAAGGATGATACATTTTGAATTACTGCAGCTTCATTTTTCTATAAAATTGTTCAGTATTTCAGAGTTGACCATACTCATTAAAACAAGGTAAGGTGATAGCCCTACAGTTTAAATCAACATTTATTTCAATTTGGAGGTTCCTTTAGAACATACAGCCAGTGAATTCCAAATTTGAAACTTTTTCTGTTAATAGCCCAGGGTATACAAAAGCTAATTAAAAAATTAAAAAGCATTTCTTGAAAAGATAGTTGTTTAAAAATGTGACTCCATATCCATCCAAGTTCTAATGCCCATATTGGAAAAGCATTATAAAGTTGAGCACCTCCTTCTTCTCAAATGGCTCATTAAGTGGTTGGATTATACAATCTAATTCCTTTAGATTTTAATATTACACAGTTATTTCATTGATTAAGGAATTTAAAAACAAGATCAGGGGTTGTCTCTAACTGGCAATAAAACCAGTGAGAGCCCTTTGTTAGATTATCGAATACTACCATTCTTTCATAGTATATTTGCTTGCCTATCTGCATCATAAAAAAGTGATTCAATTTTTTCTCATAAAATTTGAATAGAAATATTCTGATCATACTTATAGTTTAGTAGTATTTAATTAGAAGTTATAATATATTTATGGAACAGATATAGAACATATTGTGCTTTTTTCTTGATTGTTGCATTTAGTTATTGTTTCCTTTGCATAATAAAGATATTAGATATTTAAAACTTACAAATGATTTTTAAATCATTCTGTGTATATATATTGTTACTGCTCGAGATCTTATCCAGTTCAGACACAGGCATCACTTCCACATAAAAGCCATCTCCTAGATGGATAAAATGGTTATACATATGAAATACCAAGTTACAGATATTCTACCTTTAGAAGGATTCTCATAGCGTTCACACAGCAGCAGTACCAGCAGCATTACCTGGGAACTTAATCAAGATGTGAATTTTCAGCCTCCACTCCAGATTTTCTGAACCATAATTCTGGCAGTGGGGTCTGGAAATTTGTGTTTTAATATGTCCTCCACATCATTGTGATGCACCCTAAAGTTCTAGAACCACTGGTCATTTTCACCAATCTACCTTTTATATTTTAACTATAATGTAATAATCTAACTTCTGACCCCTGAATTTTGGATTCCTGTTTTATGTTATTGGAAAGAATTTTGTTGTGTTAGGAATACACAAAACTGCAAAAATTAAAGTACAGATTGCAAGGAAACATTCAAAGTAACTTTGGGATAGTCATACCCTATGGTTATAGCCTCACTCATGCATTGATTTATTTATTTGCAAATAAATACAAGTTAGGATCATGATAAATTCTATGAAACAACTAAACAGAGTAAGGGAATAAAGCATGTGCATGGCAGGGTATTATATATGCTATTTTACTGCATTATTGAGGAAGACTTTGATAGGGAAGACCACATGAACATAGATGACTGAGGGAAATGAATGTGTGATCCACAGACATTTGAAGGAAAGTATTTATAGGCCTCTGATAGCAAATGCAAATACCCTGGAGCAGGGGTTTGTCTGCTGTGATTGAGAAATCGCGAAATATCAAATAGGCTAGGAGCGAGTGAAAAAGCGGTAGGAAATAAGGTCAGAGCAGGAAGGACAGACCCCATCATAGGCTACACTGAGGAGTCTGGATTTTACTTTTTAATGTCTTTTAATCCCTTTAGGACTGTGAAGTGCTCATGTAGATGATTTTTAAAATTCTTCCTAACCCTAAAATATTTAGAGAATTGAATCTATTTTGAGTATGCCAGGAAAATAGTAATGAATAAAAAGGCAGCGAATCATGCGTCGACCTTATGGAGTGAAGAGGACGAAAGAAAAAATTCAAAATATTTTGTGAACTAGTTCTTCCTAAGATATACTAGGGAGGGGAAGAGGAGAGTTAGAAAAGGTTATTAATTGAGGATCAGACTTTAAACTTGTTCATGTCCTAGGAATGCATGAAATAGATAATCTTAAAGTATATCTAAGATGGATTAAACTACCACAGTGTCCTTCCACTCAATATAATATTCCTGCCCTTTAGTTAATTACCTATTTCAAGTAGCAAAATAACCTTACATAAAGTCTGTCCCTTGTTGGAGAAATGTAATTAAAAAGAAAATCATCTGCCAACCTAGAAATCTTCTAAACGAAGGTAGAAGAGAGAAAGAAAAAACTATTTTATTTGTCGAATAAGCATTAAACCAGAATGTGATGTGCATCACAGCCAACCTGCTATAGAGACTGCAGAGACCAAAGAACTTTTAGCTTTTTATATAGCAGAGCAGATACAACCCATTTCATATATTTTCTCAAGATAAACAAAACCTAGTCGTCAGGTAGGAGGACTTGACAGCACCACTGAACACATAGTTGATTTAAAATTCACCTGGTAATTGGGGTGGCCACCTGGTTTTGCTAATTGCCTTTATCCAAAGGAAAAATATGTTTCTTATATCTTTGTGACATGAGATAGGTTTGCAACTTGGGGCCAGGCACCAACTAAAGTATAGGCTCCTAGCTTGTCACAGAAATGAGGAGATGGGGGGCACCATCTTCCTTGATGATTGCATTTCAAAGAGATGGCTCCCAGGTCCTTAAGAAAAATGTATTTTTTTCCTTGTTGTAGAACTGGAAAGAGGTTTGTTTAGCTTTTAAAAAGATTTGCATGCATTTCAAAGAGAAAGAGAAGAATTCTAAAGTAAATGTTCTGAGAAAGGGAGGAGGGTCTCTTCTTTTTTTGCAAGAAAAAGAGTTTTTCTTATTTTTAATTTACATTTGCCCTTATAGGCTTAGTTTCAAAACAATGTGGAAAGGCCAGGCACTGCCACTTAAATATCTGGTTGGCATATAAAATTCCATCTTCCTTCACTTATGATTTAAGAAAATGCTTGCAATTTTAAATAGACACCTGAGGTACGACTTTTGCAACCTAGAATTTGAAGACTTTTATATACTATTTATTCAATACTTGGTGGTGTATTGGAGGGGGGTGAGGATAAGAGAAGTGTACAGATTCAAGAAATATGTAGAAGATGAAATCTATTGAACTTGGATTGATGGGATATAAAGCCTGAGGAAAAGTCACAAATCTAATGATGATACAGGAGTAATCTGGCTGAGATTTCTGCTAGGAGCACTGTGGAACCATTCACAAATATGGTAACAGTAGAAGAGGAGGGGAAGAAATATCGGGAGAAATGAGGCAGGGAAATAAGCTCAAATATGTAATCTGAGGTTCTGTAGGATACACAGATAGATGTACATGTGTAAAGATGATCTCCTGTGAATCCTATATGCTCCACATGGTCTATTTGAATAGGATATTTTGTTAACCTTATGCCCTTATGAATTCTACTGGCTCCTCACTCCTGCTACCATCAAGCAACATTGCTTTCTGAAGTTGTAAAATACAATTACAAATGAAACACTTTATTCATCATGACTATACAGTATATTCATATTAAAGGAAAATAATAGGTTTAACCAGGGCAAACAGCTACCATAAACTTAATTTTTTTTTTTAATTTTTTATTGGATTTCAGGTTTTGGGGTACATGAGCAGAGCATGAAAGACAGTTGCGTAGGTACACACATGGCAGTGTGCTTTGCTTTTCTTCTCCCCTTCACCCACATTTGGTGTTTCTCCCCAAGCTAACCCTCCGCACCTCCCCCTCCCACTGGCCCTCCCCTTTTCCCCCCAATAGACCCCAGTGTTTAGTACTCCCCTTTCTGTGTCCATGTGTTCTCATTTTTCATCACCCGCCTATGAGTGAGAATATGCAGTGTTTCATTTTCTGTTCTTGTGTCAGTTTGCTGAGGATGATGTTCTCCAGATTCATCCATGTCCCTACAAACGACACAAACTCATCATTTCTGATTGCTGCATAATATTCCATGGTGTATATGTGCCACATTTTTCCAATCCAGTCTATTATCAATGGGCATTTGAGTTGATTCCAGGTCTTTGCTATTGTAAACAGTGCTGCAGTGAACATTCGTGTACATGTGTCCTTATAGTAGAACGATTTATAGTCTTTTGGATATATACCCAGTAATGGGATTGCTGGGTCAAATGGAATTTCTATTTCTAAGGCCTTGAGGAATCGCCACACTGTCTTCCACAATGGTTGAACTAATTTACACTCCCACCAACAGTGTAAAAGTGTTCCTTTTTCTCCACATCCTCTCCAGCATCTGTTGTCTCCAGATTTTTTAATGATTGCCATTTTAACTGGCATGAGATGGTATCTCAATGTGGTTTTGATTTGCATCTCTCTGATGACCAGTGACGATGAGCATTTTTTCATATGATTGTTGGCCTCATATATGTCTTCTTTGGTAAAGTGTCTATTCATATCCTTTGCCCACTTTTGAATGGGCTTCTTTGTTTTTTTCCTGTAAATCTGTTTGAGTTCTTTGTAAATTCTGGATATCAGCCCTTTGTCAGATGGGTAAACTGCAAAAATTTTTTCCCATTCTGTTGGTTGCCGATCCACTCTAGTGACTGTTTCTTTTGCCATGCAGAAGCTGTGGAGTTTGATTAGGTCCCATTTGTCTATTTTGGCTTTTGTTGCCAATGCTTTTGGTGTTTTGTTCATGAAGTCCTTGCCTACTCCTATGTCCTGGATAGTTTTGCCTAGATTTCTTTCTAGGGTTTTTATCGTGCCAAGTCTTATGTTTAAGTCTGTAATCCATCTGGAGTTAATTTTAGTGTAAGGTGTCAGGAAGGGGTCCAGTTTCTGCTTTCTGCACATGGCTAGCCAGTTTTTCCAACACCATTTATTAAACTGGGAATTCTTTCCCCATTGTTTGTTTTTGTCAGGTCTATCAAAGATTGTATAGTTGTAGATATGTTGTGTTTCCTCCGGTGCCTCTGTTTTGTTCCATTGGTCTATATCTCTGTTTTGGTACCAGTACCATGCTGTTTTGATTACTGTAGCCTTGTAGTATAGTTTGAAATTCGGTAGTGTGATGCCCCCTGCTGTGTTCTTTTTGCTTAGAATTGACGTGACTAAGCGGGCTCTCTTTTGGTTCCATATGAAGTTCATGGTGGTTTTTACCAGTTCTGTGAAGAAAGTCAATGGTAGCTTGATAGGAATAGCGTTGATTCTTTAAATTACTTTGGGCAGTATAGCCATTTTCACAATATTAATTCTTCCTAACCATGAACATGGAATGTTTCTCCATCTGTTTGTGTCCTCTCTGATTTCATTGAGGAGTGGTTTGTAGTTCTCCTTGAAGAGGTCCCTTATGTTCCTTGTGAGTTGTATTCCAAAGTATTTTATTCTTTTTGTAGCAATTGTGAATGGCAGTTCGTTCTTGATTTGGCTTTCTTTAAGTCTGTTATTGGTGTAGACGAATGTTTGTGATTTTTGCACATTGATTTTATATCCTGAGACTTTGCTGAAGTTGCTTATCAGTTTCAGGAGTTTTTGGGCTGAGGCGATGGGGTCTTCTAGGTATACTATCATGTCGTCTGCAAATAGAGACAATTTGGCTTCCACCTTTCCTATTTGAATACCCTTTATTTCTTTTTCTTGCCTGATTGCTCTGGCTAGAACTTCCAGTACTATATTGAATAGGAGTGGTGAAAGAGGGCATCCTTGTCTAGTGCCAGATTTCAAAGGGAATGCTTCCAGTTTCTGCCCATTCAGTATGATATTGGCTGTTGGTTTGTCATAAATAGCTTTTATTACTTTGAGATACGTTCCATCGATACCGAGTTTATTGAGGGTTTTTAGCATAAAGGGCTGTTGAATTTTGTCAAATGCCTTCTCTGCATCAATTGAGATAATCATGTGGTTTTTGCTTTTGGTTCTGTTTATGTGGTGAATTACGTTGATAGACTTGCGTATGTTGAACCAGCCTTGCATCCCTGGGATGAATCCTACTTGATCATGATGAATAACTTTTTGATTTGCTGTTGCAATCGGCTTACCAATATTTTAATGAAGATATTTGCATCTATGTTCATCATGGATATTGGCCTGAAGTTTTC